AAAAAAAAAAAAAAAAAACAAAATAATAATAAGAACATATACAACATAAAACTAAATATAATGGTTTATCTTGAGTTTATTATCTTTTTTTTTTCCTATTTTAAAACTATCATCTTGTTTGTTCTTTTAAACTTTTTTAGTTTATATTTAGTTTATCTTAAGTTTATCTTTAGTTTATCTTAACTATATCTTAAGTTTATCTTAAGTTTATTATCTATTTTTTTTACTATATTTTAAGTTTATTTTTTTACTAATCATGAAAAACAAATTGACAAAAAAAACCAAAATAAAACTAAACATAAACTACAAATAAGATAAAAAAAAACAATTAATAATCATAATCTAAAATAAAGTGAATACTCCTATAAAGTACAAATGAAACAAAAAAAAAACCCAATTAATTACCATAATTAAATATTTATAAATAGATAAACATCAAATTAACACTCAAAATCATTCAAAACACAAATATCACATACTAAAAGACAGATTATTCAACAGATTATTCAGAAATTAACAAGAAAACAAATGTCTTCAACATTATTCCCCAAACCCATCTACAACATGCTATCAGCATTTGTCACAACCTCTTATGGAAATTAATTGTGCTCGACGACAACAATTCCTGGGCAGCCGACTGCTCCACCACCACTTTGCCAATGGTCGATTGATCGAACACCATAGCTCGACCCAGAGGAACACCATGACACAACCCGCATAAGTAATGGTTATCTGCACGGTTTGCTTCTCGGGTTCCATCATCAATTTTTCAAATCTTAAATCCAATAACTCATAAATATAAGATCAATGAATTCTCCACACAAAAAATTAAATTAAAATTATTAAACCCTAAATCAGTAAAACCACACCTCGAGGGGACAAGCGGTGGACGGTATAGACGGCGGGAGGACGGAGCCGGAGAGGGAGAGGATCTCAAAGCAAGGGTGACACGGCGATTCCGATGGGCTCCGAGATGCAGACCCCCACGGCCAGAGCGCGAAAGAGGCCGCCCATGGTCGGAGTCGGAGGAGCGGAGGAGGGGTGCCGAAGGGAAAGATGCGGAAGATTCAAGCGAGAGAAACTAGATCTTTGTTGTGTGTGTGTGTGGTATTTTATAGAGATACTTTTGGCTTTAGGGTTCTCAATTATGATGCAATTAACATAGAAGTGGAATGAAACTTTTAAGCTCGTTTTTAGGGAAATAAAAAAATATGCTGTAGTTGAGGGGGTAATTAACTCTTAATTTTTTAGACCTTTGTATTGTTTACAAATGTATTGTTATAAGAGTGCATCAGTACAACATTTGTGTAAATTTTTTTTTTTTTTTTTTTT